TTGAAGGTCCAACACAGCATAACGTAGCCCCAGCTCATCCCACTTCTGACGGTTTGTGTAAACATTGAAATGTGGTAAGCCGGCTTGTTGGTGGGAGCATGTTGGCTGCCGGCTTGCCTGGTCATCTGTCTGCGCAACTGTTTATTCGTTTGTTTGACTGACTACTTGCCTTTCAGCCGTCGGCGTTCGACATGCCCTTTTGAGTGGTGAATGGGTAATGGCAAAAGTTTCGCAAATTTGCATTTTCATAAAAATATGATTGTAAAAACGCACATCCAACGTTACAAATAGACGAATGCAAATAGCCAACATTAGTCTCTCTGAGGCTTACGTGGGTGTGGCATAAACTGTTGATAGAAAAAAAAATGAGAAAAAATTGTGAAAATTGGAAAAATGTAAATAATGAAAAAAGTTAGAGAATAGTTTGGAAAAAAAATCCATCCGATTTTCCCCTGCACAAGCGGATTAGGATTACTACTGGCTATTACTTGGTATTTGTTTTTGTTAGTTAGTTTTAGTTTAAGATTCACATCGATAAATTACTGTTTATGCGCAAATAAACTACAAGTAAGTTAACAACACTTTTTACCCGCACAAATTTGCACAATTTCCTGGGCTGGTAGTAAGCAAAACAACTTTTAGTTAGCAACTATATTCATAAGGATGGTTAAAAATGTATGTAAATCTAAAATATAAAAATTTGGTTTATGACTATTTGGTTATTAGTTTTCCGAGCTTCAAATTAAAAATTTAGTTGCTTCTAATCACAATGTTACACTAATTTATTTAAAATTTCTTTTTTTTTATATAATTTCGGTTTATTTTATATGTTATACTTTATTTTATTATTTGTTTATTTTTACATTTTATCTTATTTCGTTTTAATTTTATACATATTATTTTATATTTTAAATATTTTTTTTTATTTCAACTTATTTTATTTTATTTTATTTTATTTTATTTTATTTTATTTTATTTTATTTTATTTTATTTTATTTTTTTTTGTCGTGAATTTATTGTTTCAACATGCCAAGGATAAATTTTGCTAACTTATGTTTAAAAGCATATATGTATGTACGTATATTTATTTGTATGTACATAATGTGTAAATTATTCCACAAATTTATCCCGGTAAACATGGGGCCATTTGTAGAAGTTCACGCAAGTGAGGAAACTTTTTAAGTAGCATTCACCTGGGAGTGGGTAGAAATGATTGCTTTGCATATCGTCGAAGCACATCACGACTTCCGGTCTTAGACCAAGTATGCCTTGGCTTGCCAACAAATATCCGTTTGGAGGCGAGCTAAGATGAGAAGTCGAATTACATGCGGATGTGCATAGGGTTTGGAACCCACCACATGAAAGCAATCTACAATTAAAACGCACAAAAAGTCTCGGGTGAAGATCCCCTTAATTGGGAACGGGCCGCTCCCCAGCTGGTTGATATCCTAATAAAATTAAAAGCTGACATCGCCGCCGATCAAGAAGTGCAATGGACGCGACAAGGACGAGCTCTGCCCCGCCACGAAGAAAAAATTGTTCGATTAGGAATGTCGAACATCTAAAAGAAAAACAAAGCGGTTGGAGTTGACGACTTGCCAACACAGCTGTTCCAAGATGGTGGTTAAGTGCAGTCAAGGTGCATGCATCAGCTTCTTTACAAAGTATGATCGGATGAAAGCATGCCCGACGATTGGAATTTAAGCGAGCTCTGCCCAATACATAAAAAAGGGACCCCACAGTCTGCGCCAATTATCGTGGGATAAGCCTCCTTAATATCACAACCTTTTACAAGAGTCTACAACTGCTGGTGTATGCCGATGAAGATGTCGACATCCGATAAGGTGTGAGTCTTCGAGATAAAAGTTTTGCGAACATTTTATGGTCCTTTGCGCATTGGCTACGATGATTATTAGAGAGGATGGAACGATGAGCTGGACGAGCTTTACGGTGAGATTGCTATAGTTCAGCGAATGAAGAAAATTTACCTGAAGATGAATATCCGAACTGGAACTTTGTAGTGGCGGAAAACAATTGGATGTTAAACAGGGAAAATTTACCCCGATTTCTGCATAGCATGTAGTTGTACCCAAAAGCACTTGTTATGTACATTTCCTGTATAAAAGGAAAATAAAAATTTTTTAGAGCCTTTGTAGAACCAAATGATGCAGTCGTCAAGAAAAGAATCAACATTAAAATTATCTCTGCAGGCTGCCCAAGCTAAGGGAATCAAAAGAAAATTAAACGTTATTAACTCAAGCGTTGCTGTAATCTCTTCTCTGGGACCCATCTGTATAAATGACTTAAAAGCATTTTGTGGTACGACGAAAGAGACAGGAAATTTACTAACTCACTTTCCAATAACCAAAGTAAAGACAAAAATATCAATCTGCATACCATTGCATCTTAGCCATTGCCTTTCTACCGCTTGAATGGATTTACTTTAGAAAATAAATTTTGCCTTGGATAACGAGTCGAAAAACTCACCTTCATACTATTCCGAACTACGTACATTTACTTGCACTTAGTGACATTAAGTGGATTAGAATAAGCGATGGTGAGAAAAAGCGGGTTGTGGCGGCCTGAAGAACACAGCGCAAGACCATCCGTTTGGCAACTTAATGGATTTAAGCAGCGGATACGCAATAAACGTCCGAAGTGTCGCGGCTAACACGCATTTTATTGGATTTTCAGTACTTAGCTGCCGATTCACTGTCTCATTGGCGGGCACAAATAAAATTTGGTTTGCTAAGTTGAATTGCTCACCGGTTGAATGGTTTTACTAAAGCAGATTCGGCGATGACTTTGTGGCTTAGAACACCTAGATTTATTTCAGTATTTAGTTCATCTGTCGTTAATTTATTTGTCACTTGGTAAGTGTAACAACAAAGTGAAATGAAAACTTATCAAAGGGATGAAGGAGCGATGGGATGAAGAAGAACTGTAGTGCTTTGCATTTCCACTGATTAAAGAAGTTTTATTCAAATATCCAACTGAGAAGAAAAACTTAATGCGCTTGGTAGCCACAAATGATCATTAGCGACATGAAAGTTCTTAGAAAATAAGTGAAGAAGAAAGACCATTATAAAGTAGTTTTTGTTGTTCGCTTTGCATCGTTTTCAATGGGATCGTAGCCAAAATCTTCATCCATACTTTTCTTTTCTTTACTGCCGTAGACACTGCCTACGCGATTATAGCCGAGTTAACAATAGCGCGTCATTCAGTTTTTCATTTCACTGTTTGGCGCCAATTGAAAATATTAAGTACGCCCAGGTCCTTCCCTGCCTTGTTTTTGCAACGGAGTGGAGGTTCTTCCCCTGTTAACACCGACGGGTACTGCATGGAAAACTTTTAAAGCGCTACTTCAAAATCATAGTATATCATAAACTGCTCATCGTTCCATCGGCTGCTATACCCGTATTCACCTTTACCAACATTTAAATAATATCTTATCGAAAACTCATAAAGCCGACTCATTAGATATTTTATCATTCATGCCTACGCAGGACGGAATGATAAGCGGCTTATATAGTTTGGTCTTTGTTCGTCGAGACAATTTCAACTACACATTCAATCCAAAGTAGCACTTGTAGGCAAGAGTGATTCAAGGTTGGGTTTCACGGCTAACATTGTTGTTGTTGTTAATACTGGTTTCAAAAGATCCGAGGTTATCTACGATCTCAATGTTATAATTGTCAACAGCTACGTGAGAATCGAGTCGCTAATGTGATGACGGGAGATATTTCGTCTTGTTCTCGTTCACTGCCAGACTCATATCCTTCCCATCCCTATCCAGTCCGAAGAAAGCAGAGCTCATCAGCTGAACCCTTGAAAAAAATTAACTGACCTTGTTTTCTCTAGGTGAACAGTTTTAAATCCCAACGATGCTAAAATTCCTGCTATCCACTAGCTTTGTCTTCTACTAACCAGAGATTAAAAAGTTCAATAGTATTTACTTCCAAATACATAAAAAAAATATTAGTTGAATGTCAATAGTTGAAGCGATTTTTCGGCCGCACTCTTCCCCCAACATCTGGTGTGCATCTGAGGAACTTTTTATTTCATGTGAAGGGTTCACAGTCCTTGTCGAGGGGCGATCTTAATTTGAAGAATTGCTTTCATGATTTGCAACAAGTATAAAATTTATTTTCTTGTTGCTCTGTTCTTTTAACTAAACTCAATTTTCAAGTGTGCACTAGCCGTTATAACTACATGCACTGCTTTATCGACAATTGACATACTGCATTCACTGCTTTGCCGATAACTTATATTTGAGCAAGACATTCAGAGTTTTGACGTTTGAATATTTACATCAGAGAACTCGCTTATTATTTTTTTAATTTAATTTTTATTATTTTAAGTTCTCTGTTTACATTCTCTGTATACATACTAGCATTATAAATTAGAAATACTGAAGACATTATACATATTTACCTCCTCTACGATGGTTGAAAGTATAGCTCCTATGAGATAAACTCACCATCCTGCTTATTTGTCAAGATTGCCAATTTATCAAAATTTCTCTATTCTGTGTCATAAATAAAAGCTCATTTCTTGATAAATTGCAAAGTTCTCAAATGCGATTGAGAGCATTTTTTACAAAAAACACCTTTAGTGAATTTGTGAATAACAAATTTTTATAATGGAAGATATTTTACCTTTGTTGTTGTTGGCGAGGAGTAAAATTGTGAAAATGGGGCGTTATATAACATAATATATTGACGAAAACAGGCATTATGTTGAGCGAGTTACATGACGAGATTGCAGAAGATTTGGATTCTCCAATAAATATTCTTAATTCTTCACGGTATATATGTGAAGGTGAAAGAACGAGGTCCAGATATATTTCAACCCTATAGCTATTAAATAACCAAAATGTAAACAATTTCTTCTTTGACTTTCCAACTATTTGATAACTATTAATACAGGCAATATTGTATATGAACCGCGCGAACCCCCCATATACTCGCAATGTTTTTTCCAATATATGATTAAAAAGTTAACAACAATTTTCTTTTAATTTTTTATTCCAACCTGTTTTGATTTTGTTTCAAAACATTTATCAATTCCGTAATAGATTTAGTAAGGCTCTGAATGGCCTGCCTCATCTCTAACTGTTCCTGCCGTCTTTCCTGCTCAGCAGCATTCCTCTTGGCTATATCAGCCATTAACGTGCGGATAAGCCTATTTCGTTCACTTTGTGATAGCTGTGCTGTGGCAGCATCCTTCAAAAGAATAAAAAGAAATTCAAAAACAGATATTTACTTACCATTATTTTATATGGAAGCCTTTTTGATTTCTACTTTATATTTAATGTTTAAATCGAGAATTAACTGCCAAAATATCGTAAGCGACGATTCTTTTATTTTCACTTTTTGAAAATTACCTGTAAAACTTTATTTTTGTCGCTTTCGACTTTTTAGCGGTTAAAGCCCTTTGGTTATAATAATTAAAAACGTATATAATTTTGTAAGCTCACCGATGAGGATGAAGACGAGGACCCTGGGCTTGGCAATTGCATTCGACGGCTCGACGGTTGTAGCAACGGGCTATCTAACGAAGAGATACTTCGGCTTGGTGATGTTGGGCATTCAACTGTTATATGCTCATATGGCAACACCGCAAGGCTTTGAATACCTTTCTCCCCATCCACAGCTGCTGATGTAAATGTTGCTAAAGCCTTTTCTTCAAAATCACTCAACGGTTTAGCATTTGGTTTTCCACCAGTGAGCCTCTGGCTCATTTTCAAACGCCTCGCCCGAATGCGTAGTTGGCTCTTCCACACACCCAACGTCTACATATCAAATTGATGTTATAAATACAACAACTATAATAACTTTCAAATAACCAAGTTACTTCTTTCCATTTTGCTGTACTGCGTGTTGGCCCTCTACAAGAGTTTAACTCCTCTGTAAGCTGCTTCCAAAGATCCTGTATTTGCTGAGGCGGCTTTGACGATTTTTTTCTAGTAGCTATATCAGGGTGTGCCTGGCAAAACGCTACATACACTTCAAGCTGCTCGTGTGTAGCCCGGTCGTGTTTTGATTTTCTGCAAATGAAATTTAATGCTAAATTACATATTTATATCAGCAAATATTAAAATGTATACATACATATATGCGAAAACTTACATTACAGAAGGATCCATTTCGTAGGCAATATAATTTTGGCAATAACAGCTGATTTCTGTTTACATTTCATTGTTCACCAAATTAGTGGGGGAAATTCACAACTGACTGAAAGTTTATATTTTATCAAGATTGCCACAGAATAACAAAAATATTCTTGCTTGATTAAAATCTTGATAAATTAGCAATTTTTTTGTTAATTTGGTCGAGTGTTTGACAGTTGAAAGTTTTGTACGACAGTGTCGTTACATTTAAAATAATATAACTTTAGGAATGTTCGACGGCAATATCATAAAGAATACAAGAGATAAAGCAAAATTCCCTTTGCCAATAGGCACTACTACTTTAATGCTCGCAACTGTAGTTAAATACATACATATATAATGAATATTGATACTTTCAACTTTCAACTTTCAGGCACAGCTGTGCAACAAAATTTCTTTCATAAAACAAACAATTATCATTTTTGTTTGTTCAAAACAGTTTCTACTAATAAAAAAAATACAACAACGAAATTCCCTGCGGATTAGGGGTTCAAGAATTTAACCGCGGTAACACATGTCTGTCGTAAGAGGCATTTTTGATCCGATCGAAGACTGTCACTTCCGCAACATTCCCCGAAAACTATTTTGGGAAATATTTTTTCGTTTACAACAACAAAACCAGCAACATAAGACATACCGCTTTCATTTACTATCACTTTTGCACAGAGAATTCAATCATTTGACCTAATAATGCTCTGTACAGATGACCTTTCGTAAAGTAGCTAAAAGTTCATGGTAGACAACAAATTTTTCGATTTCTGCCAACTAAGGGCGGCACTCTATGATGCCTATCAAGACTAGATTCTAAGGACTAAGTATTTGAATGCAATGAGTGATTGTAGGAGACTCATTTCGCTGCGCTAAATAGACTCAAGTAATCTTCTAATCAAATAATCATGAGCTGCTCTGGTAAAAAAAATATTTTGGTGTTAAATTTACAAAAAAAAAAACAAATAAAACAAATAAACGTTTCTGTGTTAACTCATAAATTTATATTTTTGTTTATTATTAGCAAACATCACGCTTAAAATTACCAGGCTAGTTTAGTGGGTAATTGTTTATAGTATATTTATTTATTCATTTATTTTGTTTAGCTTATATATTTATGAATTAATATTTTTAATTTCATTTATAGTATTTAGGTATTCTAATATAGGTATTAATATGTTATAGTTATAGCATTGTATGTGTGTAAAATTTGTATATGTTTAAATTTGATTTAGCGCTTTGTGTTTGTTTTGTTTTTATTTCATTTTATTTTATTTTTTTTTTTTGTTTTATGTATACACATATTTAGGCATATTTTCCAAGACGATTGGTTTTACAGTTATATTAGAAATAATCAATTAGTTTAAACTATATAAAGACTTACATTCTATTGTGTTTTTGTTTTAGTAGCTTGGCGTACACAGTTAAGGCATCCTAACGTGTACAATATTACGTATACACGTTCAATTCATTCATTTATCAGCTTAATAACTATATTTGAATAGTATTTGAAGCATCATCATCATTTATATAATAACTATTAAACTAATAAAAATGTAGTTAAGTAAAAGTTGAATTCACGTAGAATCGGTTATAATTAAAGTATAATTTATGTATTGTATATTATGTATTTATTTATGTAGTAGTCATATGCATAGTATATAGTGTTGAAAAATTCTGCTAAAAATTTGCTGCCCATTTATGTATGTAGTATGTTTGTATGTTGTTGTAGGTACTTGTGGTATGCAAAAATTTCTGGTTGCCGCAGAGAAAATGCTGCGTCATACTCTAGTTTCAGTTTCATTTGATTTAACCAATAATAATCTCTAGTTGTTCTGAATAGCTACTTGTGTCAGTTTGAGAATATCAATCATAACGGTTGCTGCTTCTAGAGTTACACGCTTTTATCTTATCCACAGTACATTCTAAAGCTGCCTTCAAATCGTTGAAAACGGGCACACCTTGACGTTTGGCTAAATCGATTAGATACGAACGACCGCGATTGTAATCTTTAATAGCAGCCGGTGTGAGCTGTAATCGAAAAGAAAAACGTAAAATAACAAATTCAAAAAAAAGAAAAAAAATACTCAAAAAATAGCACTCACCTTTTCATTATTAATCACACAATCCTCAGGCAACATTTGCACTGCCAAAACGACATTGTACATAAGGCCAATACAGTGTGCTGCTAGCGTCATTGGCGCCAACGAACGTGTCTCATTAGTGATGACAAACAGCAGTACGCGGCTCCCATCCAGCAGCGAAGGATTATAGAGGCTAGGACGCATTGGTGGTAGCGCCCAACTATAGGTTTCCTCGGAGACAGTCAACTCTTCTTCTTCCTCCTCCTCCAAAGCAGCACCACGATATTTTCGGCGTGTGCGTTTTAGCGACTTCTCTTGCGCGCCCAATGGACGTGGTTGTTCCTCAAATACTTTATCCGGCAAGTCTAACTGTGTTGCTGGTAAGCTCTCGTGCAAAGCTGGTATGTGAAAAGTGATGCTCTTACTCTTCAAATATGGCATAGCAATATCCTGTCGCCATTTCGTACGTAAAAAGCAACTGCCACCCAAGTAAACATCTCGAAAATCTGCGCCAGCGAAAGTGAGCATTTCATTGCCACCATAATTGCAATTAACCGAATTGATGGAACTGCTTGATGAGAACACCGAATCATTTGAATCACTTTCATCCTCTGCTGTTATCATCGCGCTGCCATCCGTACCAATGTACGAGGAGTGCATTTGTGCGGCGGCGGCGCTGGTGTTTATTTGCGCAAGCGGATGCGTTGCAGTGGCTGCACTCAAAATCGGGTAAGCTGTTGCGGTAGTTGTAGACATGTTAGGTGGTGTTGGTGGTGTATGAGCAGTTTGGATCGTTGTTGTTATTTCGGTTGTTTCTATAGATTCGATGTTGACAAGAATTTTTGTCTTTGCTTTACCCAACTGAGCGCCCGAGCGTGATTTCATTGGTTGATCCAAGGGTTGGGGTGATGAAGTGCCGCTATCACGACTGCGACTCAATAAATCACTGCTGCTCTGACGCTGCTCATCGCTACCAGGTACGCTGGTTTGACTGGAGGTGCGTGAAATATTCTTGCTTGTAAAGTAGCTGATAGCGAAATTACTTTCGTCGCCTAAGAATGATATAGAATTGGAGTGCTTAGCGTTAGTTTAAATTATAAATAAATTAATATTTAATGTTTACCTTGCATATTGGTTAGATAGACCGGCGGTGGTGGTACATTTGTGCCTTTTATTGGCGATATGCAACCACTCTCTTGAATTTCTTGCTGCAACACGGAGAGATATGCGGAAATTACGCAGAATAAATCAAAATCAACATCTGTCGTTTCGCTAACCGAAGCGGTTGGTGTGTCTGAGCCGCACGATGAGGTCGAAGATGAGGATGAGCTTTTCTTCGTAGCATTACCACTCGCAATCTCACGCTGAGCACCTGATTTCGAACTGCGTTTCTGTAGCGCTTCCAATGTTTCACGTTGTGAAGCTATTATCTTATTTAAATTGTCTAATTTAACTAGACTCTGAGCGTAACCTAAGTATAAGAGAGCGCGTTGACATTGTACAACTGTAATGACGCCGTTAACGGGATTAACACGATCAAAAGCGCCACGTACTACACTGTGAGTTTTGAAAAAAAAAAATTGAAAAAATCAATACATGAATTAAACACGTTAAGTAATTTTCATTTAAAACTTACACTAAAATCGTTGCGATATTCGAGGGTGGATCTCTAATGCCAGCCAAAATGTCTTTGGTGCGCTGTAGACCCGATGGTATATCATCCATAACTGGTAGGCCACGACGTGTGACCAACTCCTTCAATATTAACTGATTGCGCCGGAGGTCAATGTATTCTCTGTGGGGCACAATTAGGAAGAAAGAAAGAAAAAACAATTAGAAAGCTTCTTTTTTTTTTAAAATAATTAAAAATCATTATTTAACTCACTGCTGGGATATTTGCTCATTAAGAATCGATTGATTACGTTTATATGGATGTAGTACCAACACCAGCTGCTTGCAGTTTTGACCCGCTATATGTGCCGCCTCAATGGCACCAGCAGATGCGCGCGTCTCCGAATCCATAACGAAGAACAAAACACGCGCCTTCTCTTTGGCGCGATGCTCCAGCTCGATGAGATCAGGCGTCCAATCAGAAACTTGCTACAGGGCAAAATGAGTGTAATACAAAAAATATAATTAATAAATCAAAAAACAAAATAGTATATTATAAATTACTTACAGGATTATAAAATGAAATGCCAAGTTCGTTCAACGCTGGTATAGCTACATCGGCCCGCCAGGTGGTGGGATTACATGAACCGCCTAGGAATACCTCAACCGGTGCCGATGTATCACCCTTGGACAATTTACGTTTGCAGTCTTCGACATTACTTAGGGATTTTGTACTACGCAGTTCGGTGCCCGCCGAAATTGTATTGCATGCGTTACTGTTATTTGCCTCGATGTTGGGTAAAAGGCTACCAGCAGCACGATTGATATTGTCATTGTTTTCTTGTTGTAGAGAGCTTAATAGATTTACCTTGTCACAAATCGACGGTGAGAATGTCGATGTGCTGTAAATGAATACATATTAAATGATTTAATATTAGTTAATTTTATTAATTTATTAAGAATTTATAAATTATAACTCACCGAAAGCGTTTCAGATCTGCTGCCAGCACACAAAATTCACCGAAAGTGAGTCCATTCGATTGACGACTGCCTTTACGCGCCAACAATTTGGCTGTTTGTAGCATTTCGCTTACTGAAAATAAAAACATTAAGAAAATATAATTTTTTATTTTGCTCAAAATATTTGTTAACGTTCCTTTAAATTTATTTTAATTTTACTTCGTTTCCGTTCATTTCTTTTTTAATTTTATTTTATTTTACCTTAGATCATTTCATATCATTTACTTTATTCTAATTAGCATTATTTAAATTATTTCAATAAAAATTGTTATAATTATTTTAAATAGCATTATTTAATTAATGTTAATTAGCATTATTTATTTTTTTCTTTCTCTACTAAATGGAACACAATTTAATTTTTGTATTTTATTTTTTTTTGTTTTTTTTTATTTATTTTATTTAATTTAATTTAATTTAATTTTATTTTATTTTATTTTATTTTATTTTATTTTACTTTATTTTATTTTATTTTATTTTATTTAATTTACTTTAATTTAATTTAATTTAGTTTAATTTAATTTAATTTAATTTAAATTACGTTTATTTTATTTTATTTTAATTTAATTTAATTTAATTTTATTTTGTTTTTTCTTTTCCCATTTTATTTTTTATATCTGATTTTATTATTTCTTTCATTTTATTGAATTTTTTTACCGTTATTGTTATATTCTATTTTATTTATATGTTTTTTTATTATCATCTTTTAGCCAAAATTTTGTTGATTTATTTTAAAGTAAAAAAAATGCATAATCTTACTTTGCTTTTCACTAGGATGAAAGCTCAGTTCATGGAAAAGCTCCTGTGTACGTTCTGCCGGCACAACATTGCAACGCGCTTTGGCACGCCAAGCGTTTAGTACTTCTCTGTAAATAAAGAAGGAAAATATTTATTAAATACAATACATAATAAAAATATAGCTAAAAAAATAATAATTATAACTGACATCAAATTAATAAAAAATACTTTAAGTATGTCTTCTTACATATCGTTTAGACAAATATTAGAAAATTAGTATATGTATTTACTCAAAAAAGCAGCTTGCAACGCCCAAGCTCACACTTTTCATAACGCCTTGTTGCTGCTCACTAATAACGGTGTCAAATGCCAGCAACGAGGAGCTAACTAAGTCATTGACCGTGTGACGATTGCGCACATATGCTGCACAACCCGATAAGGGGAGAAGAGGAAAAGTGTCTTTAACATAGATATTAAAGAAAATCGGCAATAAGTAGAGCCAAAATCGATAGCAGCCTACAGTGGATTGCATCATTGCAACAGACCGGCAGACACCAACGCACAACAGTAAACCAACAAACAACCAAACAAGTCACCAAAGAGACGGGCGATCTATCTCTAACTACCAGCTAAGCGCCTCTGCAAAGTTTTTATTGGACATTTTTATTTTTGTTTTATTTTAAGCGACTTAATGCGCCGTTCGTATTTATAAAAATTGGAAAATGAAATCATCCAACGGTTTTGTAATGCGCCAAAACGAACACCAAACACTAAAAGCGCCTTAGAAAGACAAAAACACATTTACAAATTTACAAAATTAAAATGAAAATAAAATAAAAATCAGGAAAAGCAAGCAATTTTGCATGTGCGCTTGGTATGCATGTGCCAAACGCTGATCTAGCTATGTACTAGAAATGTACTAGAAAACGTCATTGAACCAGGCTGTTAGGAGGCTACGGCTAAGGTTGTAGCGTACGTCAGTAGCAAAATAAATGTACAAAAAAAGACAAGTAATAATAATAAAATAAAATTCCAAACGATTGCTTAAATGGCTGGCGCTATACTGTAGGGATGTGTAAAATTAAAATAATCTAAATGTACCGTGATGATGATATTTGTGATGAATTTATGCCTAGACACATGGCACTGAGCGAATTATTGAGTATTTTATTAGCCACTCAGTCAGCTATGTTGTTTTATTTTTCTTTTTCAGAATCAGTAAATGCGCCATATATTTCGAGATAATTAATACTCATTTTTTAATTATTTCACAAATGAGATTAACGATTAGAGTTCAAAAAATTGAAGTGAGTATGAAAACAAATGAAAAATAATGAATTAAACATAAAGATACACTGCGAGGTAGATTTTTTGAAGTGGTCTAAAAAACGTATCTCAATTTGAATAAGCACAGTTTTTTAAGATTTATTTTTTAAATTCTTTGGTAAAAAAAAAATTAATTATTTCAGTCGCAATATATACATATTATTTATATAAGTTTGCGAATGATTTAATTTATTATTTTTAGCCCTTTTCCTTTTATTTCCATTGTGCACAATTTATCATTGCTTATGATTTATTTTTATTACATTTTTTTAATTTACTTTTATTTCTTGTTTTAATTTCCTATTTTCTTTTTTTATGTTTTTTTATTTTTTTGTATTTCTTTTATATATATTCTTTCATTTAATAATCTTTTTAATCTAAAAATTATTATATTAATTGTAAATTTTTGTTCTTATTTGTGATTGTCTGTTGATTTTTTTAATTCAAATTTTTTTAAATATTTTTATTGGCTTCTAAATGCAATATCTTTGTGTATTTTTTTAATATTTTTTATTGTGATTTTTAT